TAGATTTATTCTTTCAGAAATTTTTTTTCCTGTATCAATCAGTTTATCCATTGTTTTCTAATTGAAGATAATTTGTGAAAATGAAAATTGTAAATAGATTTTTTGCCCATTTTCCAGTGGAGGCCATGTCTGTGTCAGAGCCTAGCTCTTGATATTTCAAGCAAGAACATTGCTTTTAGAGGCCTCCGACCTTGTTTCCACCCCTGACTTTACCAAGGCTATGCTGTTTGCCTTTGAGAAATATACAGCAAAACCCCACAGGTTTCCAAAATAGTCAGTGCTCACAGAGATGTGTGCTTCCTAGAGGAACTTCTCATCTTTGCTTATTAATCTGTGTGTACATTTATAGTCTTTGTCATATATATTTAAAAATCTCCCTAGTAACATAAAGCAGGTTCATCACATCGACTGAGGTTTCTGTTGCCTTGGCAACACCTTCCCGAGCAATAGAGCATTGTCAGTCACAAGCTTTGCCAGTGTAAGTACAGGAATGTGTCACTTTCCCAAGTGTTCTCTGGTGGTTTGCCATCCTGTCTTTTATCTAGTAGTAAATAAACAGGAGCAGTGAGTCTACTAGCAGACTAACTGTAGCACCTGGGGGCAAGCCATTCTTTCTAACTGTTCCTACTTCCTTTGTAGTATGTCTCTTTTGAGTCAGCAACCTTTCCTCTCCTTGGTCCTTACCTGCCTTAAGGGGCAAGATGAACAACGAGAAGGCCTCCTAACATCTCTGCAGAACCAAGTCAACCAGGTAAAGTGCAGTGTGATACTAACTAAGCCAGGCTGGTATCTTTCTGATTGTATTCATTATTTTCCTTTCAAATACAAGATTAGACAAACGTGTCTACCAGTGAGGTGCTAGAAAACATAATCCATGTCCAGTTCTGCCTAGCATCATGGTCAGCCTGAGACTAACAACTTTTTATTAAGTATGCATCGGCAGATGTGTAAAGACTATGAAAGTAAGTTGTCCCATACTACTTATTGGCTAGTTTGGCTGGGCTTGTAGGGAGCAGGAAAAAAGATGAGAATGTGTAGAATCAAAGAAAAGTGTTAGTTGGTGGTGTGAGCTGGTCTATCCTGACACAAAGCATGCCTCCCTGTGACATTAAGTGGGATTTGATGACATGAGCAAGGCCACTAGCCTTACTTGGTTTTCTTTGTCATCACACCCACTGCATATGAGAAGTGTTTCCTCTGCCTAGCTTCCAGAGTGAGCCATTTAAATATAAAGTATTCATGTTTCTCATAATTCCTAGGCTACAGATTCCAGGGCTGAACTTACAGAACTCTCCCTGACTGGGCATTTGCTGTCTGTCCCACCTCTTTTCCCTTTCACTCAAGCCTTGCTGGACTGGGGCTGCCATCCCGGTTCCGTGCTTGTGCTGGAAGAATGCCTCTGAAACATTAGTCTGACCTGCTCCCTCCTTCCCTGCTGTTCTCTGTTCACCTTGCCTCCTCAGCAAGGCTGTGGTCACCTTCTAAGTACTTCCGCTATCATCCTTTGTCCTCACTGTAGTCATCTCTGTTCACGTTTCCCTCCTTAGTCCTGGGCTTGGACCTAAAGCACGCTAGATAAGCTTTCTGCCACTGAGTCCAGTTTTAGCATATTATTTTGAGATAAAATCTTGCCCAGCTGGTCTTCATCTCTCTCAGTAGCCCAAGTGAACCTTGAACTTCCAACCTTTCACTTTCAACTTCCCAGTTAGCAGGAGTGACAGGGGAGTTGCACCCAGCTGAGCTCTCAGTACTTTTGTGGGAGCTCTGTGAGAGAGAGACAGAGACACAGAGAAGGAGGGAGGGAGGGAAAGAGAGACTCTCTCTCTCTCTCTCTCTCTCTCTCTCTCTCTGTGTGTGTGTGTGTGACTGCCCTATTACCTTAATTGACAGAAGCTGGTGTTGTCCCTATATGTCATTTGGAAAGCATTCTCTTTCCTAGGCTTTCAGCTCTGCCCTTGTTGATAGTTATCACTTGTAAAGTGATTCCTTTTGATACATTGTGTGGGGTGGGGAGAGGGCAGAGAATGTATGCAGGGGTGAGAGAATGCAGGCACATGGGTACCAGGGCCTACAAGCAGAAGTTAGAGGAAAATCCTTGTTTTTGGTCCTGTCCTTCTGCTTCCCCTGAGATAGCGTCTCTGTTGTTTGCTGTCACTGCATGTGCCATGGCCTGTGAGTGGCTGGGATTCTTTTGCCTCTGCCTCCCATCTTGCTTTAGGGATATTGGGGTCACAGGTGCCACTTCCCTGTGTACCTTTAAATGGAATGCTAACTCAGGTCCTCACACTGCTGCATCATCTCTGCAGCCCTTTTTTAGCTCATTAAAGGCAATATGGCAATATTCATTAGTTACTGTTAGTTTAGGGCATGGTGAGGGTTGGCAGTCAGGGCCTGTGGTTGAGTTTTCTTTATTGGCTCTTGTCATGTGTTTCTGGGATATTCCTACTTGTTTTCCTTCTTTTAGTAAACCCTTCCCAGAGCTACTCTTGAGGAAATGAAGAAGCAGCCCATTTTATAAATTTGACTGATCTTGGTCTGAGGGGCTACATTTATTGAAAATAGTATATATTATCTTTGTCAGGAAAGATTATTCATTAGATAGCAAGTAACAATTCCAGTAAGATATCAGAACTTTCCTAGGATTTATAGCATATCCCTAGAAGTGTAACATGGGACCAATGAAAAATGGAATTCTGTCTTTTCAATATTTATCTTCAGGATACCAAGTTAATAATGTTTAATTTGATGTCCCTTTAGAGGATTTTCCTCAAAATATACATGTATATACACATGAATATATATGTAATTATGTCATATTCTCTTCTCTCAGCTACCCAGGCAAATAAATCATAACATGGCTAGGATTTTGTCTTTGTGGAAGAAGATAAAAAAATTAACAAATTTCTTCAATTTGTTAAAGCTAAGGAGTTGGTTTTAGCTCTCACTATTAAGCTTAGTTTTAAACACGTAAAAATTGTCATAACAAAGAACACAGGAATTTTTGTTTTTTTTTCTTCTTTTGTTACTGATCTTAGATCTTAAGTAACTGGAGGGAAGAACGATACCAAGATGATACAAAAGCCCGCCAGATGATGCACGAGGCTTTGCAACTTCGACTAAATCTGGTAAGGGCCATGGCGAGTGTTCCCATCACGCCTCTCTCTGTATGAAAATAACACCAGCTTTTAACTTCTTTAGCAGGCACAATCTGCATGGCAAAGGGAAGCCTTCCTCTATCTGTCTCTACCCACTTCCTTTTCTCTTAAACCTTCTGTCTCCCTTGCTGCATTTCTTCCTGTCTAGATGGAGTTCTAGACAGTCTGTTTTGAACACCAGTTTTCTTTTCTACACTGGCTCCTTTCAGCAGATCTCCCCTCCTCCTCAGTTGGTGCTAAGGGGAGGGGGTCTAAGAAACCTTTATTCGGATATGAGTGTTAGCTCTATTGTATTTTACTTTAAAATCATAAAATCCATTAACTCTAAACTGTCAGTCAGAACTGATTAAATCTGCTGGATTGATTAGAAAAATATAAATCTCACAATGTTTTTTTTTATTGAATCTAAAAGTAGATGTTTTGTATTCCTTTGAGTTTTTTGCTTTCTGTTGGACAAACCCCAAATAAAATCTACTCTGGTGACAGCATATCTGATTTCTGGCAGTCTGACTTCCACACATAAGCTGGCCACCAGATCTAACAAACATTGCAGGATGGGGGGGAGGAGGGAGGTAAATGTAATGACAGACTTAGATGCAGTAATAAAGAAATATAGCAAAATTGAAGGTAATCAGACAGAGTTTTGGTGCTATTTAGGTTTAACTTATCTGAAATTATGTTTAAAACTGAGTACCATGGGAGATTGATAAGGAAAGAAAGTGACTAATACTTAAGTATTTACTCTTTTTTGTTGTTTTGAAAGACTGTACTATGTTGAAAGAACCAAAAATCATGATAAACACATTGCTAAAGGAGTCAGATTATAGGGTAATCTATAACTTGCTTAGCAAGAGCCAGTTCTTAACATCTTTTTGGTTTTAAGAAATCAATATTTAGGCACATATAGCAATAGGCATGGTGTTTTATCTTACAGATACAAATTCCTTACTGTATTTTGTGTGCTAGGTAGGAGGAATGTTTGACACGGTACAGAGGAGCACCCAGGGGACCACTGACTGGGCTCTCCTACTCCTCCAGATAATTACTTCAGGAACTGTTGACATGCACACTAACAAGTATGTCTTTTTAAAATCAGTTTATACTTTTTTGCTGCATGCATGCATGATATAAACTTTGATATACTGACAGTAAATTCTGACACTTACTGATTTTCATTTGTCCTTAAAAATTCAGCGCTTTCAGTAGAAACGCTTAGATAATTACGTGCATCTTGGTTTTGTTTCTAAGAATAAAATCGGGTTTTTCTTTCCTCTCAGTGAATTATTCACAACAGTTCTCGACATGCTGGGTGTTTTAATCAATGGGACATTGGCTTCTGACCTATCAAATGCTTCCCCTGGGGGATCTGAAGAGAACAAACGGGCATACATGAATTTAGTAAAGAAACTGAAAGTAAGTTTGTGATCAGCCTCTATTCTGAAGTTGTTTATGGACTGGTTGTCTGATGTCTTACTCATTAATTTACATACGTAGTTGATTCAACATAATGTGATTATTGTCTTGCCTAGGCTTGCTAGTCTTTCAAGGTTACAAGTATGCCATCTGAAAGAATTTTTCCTAAAAAAATTATATTCATAAACTATGTTTAAATTGTAAGGAATTTAGAAATACATTATCAAATATATAACCAAAACTCTAGCATCAGATTTCAGTTAAACCCAAGCTTGGATTTATATATGCAAGTGGAAATAAGAGCATTTGCAATGATTTTGTAAATCTGACTCATTTGATAACCCATTAATAGTCCTTGACAAAAACAATAAATAAATATTACAGATACATAAATCTGAAGACTTTACAAGAAAATAACTGGTGGTTGGTTACCTTGCAGTCTGACCCTGGATACGAGAAAGTGTCCGTGTTGCAGCTCCTGCTGTGTGACTGCAAATAACACAGTGGATTTTTGTCATTTCAGCACCCTGATATTCCTTATAACAAGACTGCCTTTGTATGTACTCTATTTTCTACTTGAATAGAAGAAATGAAACACTTCACCAGTCTGATTTGCAGCTGCCCCATAGACTGTATTGAGGTTAATAAACATACTAGATATATATATACAAACAAAAAGGAACTGTGTCATTGGGGAACTTCCTTCTTATGGACTTTTGTGTTCACTGTAAAGTTAGCATTTCTGTCTCACTTCTCTCTTGCTTTTACATTTTTTTCTTTTTCTTCTAGAAAGAACTCGGAGATAAGCGGTCAGAAAGCATTGACAAAGTTCGACAGTTGTTGCCTCTGCCAAAGCAGACATGCGATGTTATTACTTGTGAACCCATGGGTTCTCTCATTGATACAAAGGGAAACAAAATTGCTGGATTTGACTCCATTGATAAAAAACAGGCAAGAGTAAATGTTTTTCCCTCATATATAAATATATCTAGTTACCGACGCCAAGTAACTTTTCTTACATTCTTTGAGGATATATAGAACATCTTAGCTTCATTTCATAACTTTCAAGGTATTATTTTTGTCATTTAAGTACAATGGCTATTGGCATTATAAGAAGCTATGTCCAGAGGGGATTAAGAGGTACCCAGGAAGACGATTTCAGCCAGACAAGAGAGAGGTAATCAGAGCAGAATTCCTACATACAGACCATTTGGAAGGTTTAAGAGTTATACAGAAAAGAATGGAACAGGCAGGGAAAGTTTAAATCAGGTCAAGAAAGAAGGTGATTCATAAAGGAAAAGCAATGCCTCCAGAATTCAGAGGTAGCCTAAATGGCAAAGCAGTGTGGCTTTGGAAAGGGAAAAGGCCCCTAGTCACAGTCAAGATGACTTGGGCTTCCTAACAGGAAGCGTCCAGGATCCATTTAGATTTGAACTCTACTTGGGAAATTGCTTTCATCACATGACAAACAGCAGGGAGTGGTGACTTTACTAGTGGTGTTAGAAGAAGCCACTCTTACAAAGGAAGCACAGAAAAGAACAGGTATGCACACATCCGGGGAGAGGGGAAGGTACCTTGGCATTTTTTTTTTTTTTTTGAGAAATATCTTTTAATTAGTATACTGAAGAAGTTACCAAAAAATGTCACAGTTAATGTTACAAATAGCATTCTTTTTTTTTCAGTGAAGATAAGTTGGAATTGAAAGACTTGATTTGATGAAAGACACAAAAAGTAAATAAACAGAATGTTTTTTAAAAAGTAAGAAAGACTTGAATAGTGTTCTACAAGTTTCTGTAATTAAGCTCCCTCACAACATTTTGTTCAGACAATGCCATGTTAGGTACCTGAGAAGCCCACCTACTACATCAAGTCTATACAGGTTGAACTGAAGTGAATATTACCCTAAACAGAGGAAGACTATATATTGACTTTTAAATTTTGTATCATCTTAAAAATAATAAATAGGCTCCTGAAATGTGTAACTGGTTATAATTTTGTATTATAAGGCCAACTTCTTTCTTTACAGGGTACTTGAGAAATTATATTTGCTAGAACAAACTGGATAAAAATGTCATTTTATAGTAAAATAGCCTAGATTACCTTGAGATTCCTTGAGGGAATGTCAAGTGGTGCAGAGAGCTGGAGAACTGAACTCCCAAAGTTCTGAGCTCCAATTCACCTGACTAGTATTTCTGTCTACTGAGTCCCCTAAGCTCAAACTCATTGCTCTGTGTGTCTTGGAACAGGCCAGAGAGTGCTCTCATAGAACCCTCTTTTCTCACAGGGTCTCCAGGTCTCTACAAAGCAGAAAGTGTCCCCATGGGACCTGTTTGAGGGTCAGAAGAACCCGGCTCCTCTGTCCTGGGCCTGGTTCGGCACTGTCCGTGTGGACCGGAAGGTGGTAAAATATGAGGAACAGCACCACTTCCTGCTCTACCACACACATACCATGCCTAAGCCCCGAAGCTACTACCTTGAGCCTCTGCCCTTACCTCCTGAGGAGGAAGAGGAAGAACCCACATCTCCAGTTTCTCAGGAACCAGAAAGGAAGTCAGCTGAACTGTCGGATCAAGGAAAAACTACAGCTGACGAAGAGAAGAAGACAAAGGGAAGGAAGCGTAAGACAAAATCAAGCTCACGCATTGATGTGAGTGGGGGATGTAAGGAGGAGTTTGGCTCATTAGTATCTAGGATGGGATTTATCAGTGGCCAAACTGTACTCCTAGAAACCTTGCTAAGAGTAGTATCAGCTTTCTCATAGAGTTTCCTAACACATTTCTGTCCTGTACAAATGAGATGGCACACCATGACTTCTCATGGGTGACATATTTAAAGCTTTTGATTTTCTATTCTCAACCCTTACTAACTGTTTAACCTTAGACTTCAGTAGGGGGATAATATTGAGTTAATAAGCCTCATAATTTCCCTGGGTTTGAAACTTTAATTTTTCAGGGGTATATGATCTCACCCTCTTAAATACGTTTATTAATAGGTATAATTAAATATATTATTTTGAATGATTGATATTTGCAATGAACTAACATTAAAAAGTTCCTTCTACTTTTCTCTGAATGGATTTGCCTCTGATTTACCCAACAGCCTGACCCTGAGATTTTTTTCCTTCGCCCTTGTGTCTTCTACCCCCTGAGTAGTCTTTAACATATTTTCAGGTCTCATAAAAGATAAACCTAATTTAAAAATCATCTCATCCCCTTTCTTTTCCTTTCCAGTACTAGAGGCCTATTAGGTCATAATTCAGAAATTATTTTATAGAATATGAAATGCAGTATCTAAGATAGGTTTCTCCTTGGCATTACCTGGGTTAACCCAAGAGAGAAATTTCAGATCATTTTCTTAGAGTACAAGGATATTCTAGCCTGGTGGGGAGAAGTACTTATGAGCACTCAGCTGTTCAGGAGCAATTATCATTGTGTTCACCCATGTCAATTCTGAATCAGCCAGTAGCCTGGTAATGAAGACATTTTGAGAGATGGCTGCTGTCACTCTCAGGTGCCACTTGAACAGCATTGCCCACTCCCAAACCGGGAACACTCTGGCCTGCCAAACTACATGGATGAGGGCTTCTTTTCTCTTCACATACAAAAGCCTTATCTAAATACACTCACAACCCTCCTCTTGAAGCTGCCTCTGCCCATGGGGATTATATCCTGAAGAGTACTGAGATGTTCATTGTCCTTCATCCTCAAGGGCCATGCTAGAAAATGTTGAAACTTTCTGGTGTGAACCTTAGAGTCTGTACCTGCTATGAGGAGAAAGCATAGAGACTTGAGGAATGGAAAGCTGTGGGTAAGATACTGTCTAGTCCTGTCTAGGCCTTTCTGACACCGTTCTTATTCAGACATGTGCATTTAGCTTTTGAAATGTCTGCTGTGAGGAAATTCTTTGTGTGTGTGTGTGTGTGTGTGTGTGTGTGGTGGGGAGATGGCACAGGAGATTGAATGTAGGGCCTTGCATGTGCTAGGTGATTATTATTACTTTTTAAATCAAAGAAAATTTTTAATTCACATGGGTATTTTTCAGGAAATAGGTCATCGTTTATTTTCTCTACCTTCCCTTTCACAAAATATAGTCTTGCATTCTAGGATTGGATAACCCCACATACATGAATAGGAAGAACTTCTGTTGATTAACTGTGTGTGGTTTATTAAGTCAAATTAAAAAAAAATATATATATATATATATTTCTGTTGAAGGAGTATCAGCAGAGCAACATATACCGAGTGCCTCCTAATTACTCACCCATGTCCTCTCAAATGATGCATCATTCACAGCCTGCACTGTGGGGTTACAACCTGATGAGCCAGCCCCAGCAGCCCAGCTTTTTCCTTCAGAATCCATCTCTGAATCCAGGTAGGTATGAGGCATACAACACTGGCAGACTACTTTGATTGGCAAGTTGAGAACAAAAACTCCACAAAATGAGAATTTGGGTAATCCAGTACTCAGTTAAAACTTGATTTTCTTTTTCTGAAATAAAAAGAAAGGTTTGGCTATACCCAATAGCTTACTTCTATTGTTCCAGCTACTACAGTAGAGGCTAAGACAGGAAGCTCACTGAGCATTGTCAATATAGTAAGAGCCTGTCTCCATAAGTAGTAAGTTAATATACAGCTAAAACTATATGTGTGGACTGTAGAATTTTGTAGGAGACTGCTGTTGCCTAAAGTCTGAGTTACCACAAAGAAAGTTGATAACAGTTTTATGTTTATAAAATTTGTATATGATTTTAATGACCATAATTCCCACTTGCATTTTAGAAGGTCAGACAACATTGTATTTTTCCTTCCTTGCATTGTAAATTTTAAAATTAAATTATGAAGCAGATAGAAGTTTGGTTTGGCTGGGAGATTTGCAAATTGTCACAGAAAACTACCACAGCTGGAGTAATTATTCATGATTAGTAATGCTTTTGTTCAAACCCCAAGTACATCCAAATGAATACTTTTCTAGATAAAAATATTCGCTAACTAGAAATTAATTCTGTCTGAAAAAAAATGTTTTAAAGGATGAGTGAAGTTAATTTTATCCCTGTGCACATACTCATCCTTTAAAAACATTTTTTCAGACAGAATTAATTTCTAGTTAGCAAATATTTGTATCTAGAAAAGTGAGGTCCAACCTAAGCAGCTGCTCTGTTCAAAGTTGTAATATACAACCTTTTCCTAGTGTCTGTGTTTCCCTCTTCTGTTGTATGGCATGCTAGCTTGAGAGGCCACCTTGGAGGGTTATCTTCAGAGTCGAGACTGTAAGTTCTGTGAAGACAGGTACTTTGTTATCTTGTGTTCACATGGTATTCTTAACAAGAAGAATGGTGTCCCAATCATAAGATAGACTATTGGCTGCATTTGATGATGCCTGCTTGTAGTTTCAGCTATTCAGGAAGCTGAGTAGACTCATACCTTTGAGCCATAGCAAAAAGTCCTCTGTCCAGAGGGATGAAGATTATATATATTCATATTTATGTATGTATGTATATCTGACAGAGAAGTTTTCAGCACAATGATCAACACTTTTCAGTCTATAATTAGAAAACAAAGGTTGTTTAAATTTTTGAGCCTGTGATTATTATAAGAATATATAGTGCTACCAAGGCTATTAGAATTCCATAGATTTA